GGCCAGCGACGAAAGTCTCTCATGAACTGCCTTCCTGGAATTTTTTTTCTTCTCCCGGATCATCCCTGGGCGCCGTAACCGGCCGATCTCCAGACTATGGATCGATGACGGATGAATCAGTTTTGAGAGTGGGGCGCCAGAGGAGCCAGGAGTTATGCCACCAATCCCCAATCCAGACAATAACTTATGCGATCACATGACTCCACGTGACTGGTCTCCAGAGGCGGGTTCTCCGCTATTGTACGAACTATCGATTGTCGTCGTGGAGGGCGGTGGACACTGCACTGCGTAGTTACTTGGTGCTGAGAATGAGACATCTCTGGATTTCTCTCTCCTTTGTGTGTGTTGGCGTTTCACTTTCGCAGTAGTAGCATCAGAAGCTCCCCTTCTTCCACCTGGTACCAATTCTACACTACCACGTAGAACGGGCAAGCTCGAGACAGGTTGAGCTCAAGCGAAGAAAAAAACTAAGTTTGTGAAGTTTGCTCAAACTAATTGATTCTCAAACAGCACCCCGCCCAAGGTTTTTTTCTTTCCTCACCGAGAACTTGATGTCCCCTATTCCTACCAGTCTATTATTATCGGCTACTTGGGCGGTCAAGCCGCAATCCCATCGTCCAAACCGTTGTTTCAGCGCCCACCGCCAACCCATGAAACCCGCCACGAATGCCACCGCTGGTTGTTTGTTTGACTGTTGCGTCCCTGGGAATGGAAATTAAACATGATCCAAGGAGGGGCAAAATGACAACTACTTTGTTGCTAACTTGAACTAGTAGTACATTATGGAGCGGAACGAATCCAGATCAACGGCACTTCTTACGAACCGTGTGGTTTGACTTACATAGTAAAACGGGCAACAAGAGAAAGGCCTAATAGGCAAAAAGCCATTCATGATTCATCCCACTTCCACCTCCCCACCCCTCTCTCTCTCTCTCGCACTCTCTCGCACTTACACCGGCTATTGATTATCGTACCTGAGGACATCCTTTCGTGCAAGTAGCAAGCCAATCAGCGTGTGAGCGCATAGGGCTCTAAAGAGCTTTCAGATTGACAACTAACCCTCCTCTAATTGACACCGGTTGACAAAGTCCATTCCCCCTTTTCCCACCTATTCGGCGATGACCAAAGTGGAAGAACAAGGAGGGGTGAGGGGTGAGGAATGAGGGGTGACCAACAAAGTCGGAGTCTCGTATGCGACAGCTAATACGTTTACTCCACATTTTGCTTCTTGAATTGGCATGAACATAAATGAACAGTGTGATAGTGGGGAGGGACGAGGGGGAGGGGTATGTTAGATGGGACAGCATTGTTCCAATTTCATCTGATTGCCCATCAAGCCTCTCAATCGTAGCACATACTCAGTACTATCTAGGCCAGAGACAGAAAAGGAGTATTCATTTACATAGGAGCAAACTATTCTCAGGAGCAACAGAGGCCAAACCCATGAAATTTGTTTCCGGCCGGGCATGGTCTTCTGCCCGATAAACCTAGATAGATTGGAAGAACTACTACAATTTGGTGTTGTTTTTTCTTCATCCCTGTAATCAGGTTGCAGTTCCAGTTCTAACACTACACACGATTAAAAGAAGAGAGATGGGAACAGCGTACTGTACTCACTCACTCACTCCATACTGTAAATAGTAGGAAGGAACAACAATGGCCCCGACAAAAATAGTACTGTAGAGAAAAAATAACATGACGCTATCTCATCGGTTCTCTGCAAGAAAGAAAGCACTCCCATTCGACAAGCACCAAAGACGATCGGCGCCGCCAGGCGGGGGCCGCCAGACGGCTTTGGGGTGCGATCGGCGATTTTCGCCCCGAAAGGGGGAAGAAGAACAAGGAGAGGGGGGGTGGATGATAGGCTGGCATTGATTGATTGACCTTACACTTGGATCAACTATTGTAGGTCTTCACTACGAGTATCGGTGCTTCTATGCAGGATGCACATCCTCCAGCATTAGTAGTCTACTCCGTACTGTCCATCACGAAGTAGAAATGCAACTCTGGTAGCACGCAAGAAAGTTTTCAATATCTTGGTTTCATGCTTGGAAGGGCTACAGTTCCAGGATAAGGTCAGGTTAAATTTAGACATGGGAGATTCCAGAGCGGAGGGAAAGTGGGAGGGAGGGACTGAATTGATTTACTTGCTCATAGTCAATGGATTTTGACGGGGGGTCGTCTGATCGGGAAGATCTAGGTGATAGCTGAGTGGAGGTAACTTACCTTCCAGGCTTATGGCTGCCAACTCTCTCCCATGACAACATCTCCTTCAGTCCTCTCTCTTTCTCTCTCTCCCAACCACCGCCCTCCCCCCCAACTTCCCACGTGCCCAAGCGAAAATTGTGATTATGATGCCTTAACATGAATCCCTGTACAGCCAGGACCACAAGCTCAGATCTAAAGCACGGTTTGTCAGACAAACCGAAGTCGAAGACTGCTGGGATGGAATAAGTACTGTACAGTACCCAAGTACTTCAGCTACCAACTGGCTAGCCCGCGGATGCCTGAACTGATGATGTCCATCGACTGACTGACCGACTGCCTTGTCGCTCACTCCGTGCCGATTACCAAGCCAGGTGGGCAAAGTAACCAACTTTGTGGTGTGATGTGTGATGTGTGCTTTGTGATGTCTTTTCCCAAAAGATCTCATTGTACCCGACACCACTACTACGACCACCACCACCACCACCGAGCCTGTCCGGGCGTCACTTCAAGACCTCCGTTCTAGAATGGCGCTTGAGTCAGCCACTTACTCCCAGTCTCCGTCCCGCTGGCTCGGTCTGAATGGGTGCTATGACCGCTAGCCGTCTCACGGCGCCCAGAGGCTCTGCTCCCTGCTCCATCGATTCACATCACTGGATACGCCGATGACGCGGCTGATCATACGGAGTAAACTGGAGCTGGCCTCTTGTTTGTGGGCTCTGCTAAGCCTTGCGCCTCGATGAGCAGTGAGCTGCGAGATTCTGTCGCTTCGGCCTCGGTGTGGCTATGTTTATGTCTGAGCATATGTGAAACGCCGCTTCGGCAACCGTAGGCCCCGCTACATGATTTGTCGTGGCGATGGCCACATAGGCAGCATTTTTGTCTGAGGCAATCGATAGGAAGCCAATGCACGGTACAGCACTTGTGATTGCCGCTTTCCTTGAGCTATTCTAAGGCGATTTTCGGTACTTTGTGCCCCCAGCTTTGAGTGGATAGACGATCTTAATAGACAGTGGGATGCTGTGGTCGACTCGCCAGTGCATCGATAACTTCCTGTCGATACGTGAGTTAAGGTGTCCTTTGCACTGCAAACAAATTTTCTCGGTTGACGGTCTGCAATACAGCAAGTCATCCTGGTTCCATCGAGCGAGTCTTTTATCTTGACATACTATGAACCAACGGTGCGAGAGGCTTCTAACCGAGCTTCAAATGGCACTTCTACCGACAACACCATTCTGCAGTCGCATGAATGCACCAAATTCAAGGACCATGTCGAAGCCTCGAAAATGTGATCGGTGCCGAATTCTGAAGGGTCATATCAACTCATTTCAGGTTGTACTGCAATTGACGGCCACGGTTGGGGAATTCCTATATATACCTGAAGTCAGCTACTGAGCACATCCGAAGATCGCGTGACATCGTCATCTTGTTCTTCGCAAGGTCAATCCCGGCGTCGATAGATATCTGGACTAACCACTGAATCATAACACTGCGCGACGAGTCATTTACAGATAGCGTCGCGGCGCCAACCATTCTGTGGGACATTGTAGGATGTGACACTTCGCACAGCGCCATCATTCAGATTCGAGGTGGCACAAAACCTGCAATCCCTGCTAACTTTCCAGATGCAACATCAACTTTCTGGGATTCAAATCCCATCTTGTCATCTACAGGGACAGGGATGACCGACAATCAGCAGCCTTCCACAGAATCAGCGTCAGGATGAACAGAAACGCATCTGCCGCCATGTTATTGAACTGTCGAGGCAAGTCTACGGATGTTGAATTTTACCCGAGACCGAGTGGTGTATTTACAATCAGTAATTTGCTCTGAAGTCTTAGGTTTGCATGATGAGATGCACATGCTGGAAGCTACCGACGATCAGTCATTGGATATGAAGTCATGGGTAACCAAAAAAGCGGACAATCAGTGACCAGAGGAGTCAGTGATGGGTCTGAATGACATCAAGGGCGAAGTCTCTGGAGTGATGGGACATCTTTCTGCACGATGGGGCAGCACTTGCTCGCAGTCGATATACTTATATACAAGACAAGTAACCTTGTAGATTGGCAATGAAGCCAGATGACGATTACAAAAAGTATATCAATTCAAGCGAGAGCTCTCAGCGCTGCGACGCAACAACCAAACAACCTACGGCAAGTAATTAATTGATGGCTCTTGTTCCGATGGCGGTCCGGAAAGCCATCGGACTGACGTCAACTTGCCACTACACGGTGACAGATCCCCCACAATCGGCCAAGCTTGCCTTGAGTTCGAGGAGGTGGGTTAAATCAGAATGCGAATTGCGATATATAGTCGACTGGGCATCCCTTGCCTTCTTTTTCCTACCTCCGACTTCCTAATTCTTCCTGGCGCTGTTCTCCATCAAAATAGATGAACTGATATGATCGATCGATCGACTAGTTGGTGTTCACGCAACAAATAGTCTAATCTGTCCTTTTCGGTTTCGAATTAATTCTTTCATCAATTTGATCTACTTCAATAACCTGAAAAGAGAAAAGGGGCCTCCTTCGAACAAAAAGGGTGAAAGGTCCAAAGCACCACGTGATCTTGTTAAAAGGGGCCAAATTCGTGAGCCACGTCATAGCAACTTGGAATAGCCTTCAAGTTTGGTGCAGTTTTCGGTTTGTACGGTACCGCGGCGGTGAAAGAAGGAAAATAATTTGATCGGAGGTGGGAAAGCGTTTGCGTTTGAGTCCAGTTGTTGGAGTAAAAGGGGGGAAAAGAGAACCTTGAAGAAAAGGGAAAGCGGAGACAGTTCAGTCCCAGAAGCGGAAACCGGGCAAGCTGGACCCTCCACTCCATTGACAGCAACGATCATCATCATCTTTCTCTTCTCCTGCGCAACTTTCCCTTCAGCATCATCCACCATCACCACCACCACCATACTCTCAGCTCAGCTCGCTTCTATCGACACGCGTACCTAAAAACAGACCGTCCCGACTTTCGCTTTCCTCTCCACCATGTTCGAAGACTCAGACAACAATCTATACCTCTTCACCTCCCTTACTGCGGGGTCATCGCACATCGTCACCGCAACGGCAACCCTGGAGCGGATTCTCAAAGCCAACAAGCTACCATTCCTGGCCATTGATGTCGCAACCAACGATGTAGCCCGCAAGCTCTGGGGTCGTCGCGCCAAGGGCAAGAAGCTGCCGGGCCTAGTGAAATTTGGCAGCGTTATTGGGGTATGTACCCCGCATAGCTTCTGGCCACCGCGGGGGGTGGCGGGCATTACACGCCTCCCCCTCTTTGCCCCCTCTCTCACCCATCTACGAAACACAACCGACTGAGGACTAATCGTCTCATACTATAGGATCTAGAAGAGGTCGAAGACTGGAACGAATATGGCGAGCTCAGAATGCAAATCAACAATGTCCAACCCATGGATAGCATCTTCGCCTCTGGCACGGTCGCGCAATCCGAATCCACCACTCCCACCGTCTCTACACCTACCACCGAAACTCCCGCCGTGAAACAAAGCACCATCAAGATCCAGAGCCCCCCTGCAAAGGAGACTCCGAAGGACGAGTCTGCCACGGCTGCCATGCGCCTGGCCAGTGAGGAAGCTGCTGCCAAGGCCAAGGGTCAACCCACGAACGGCGACGCGAAGAACAATACTAAGTTTAACAGCAGCAACGTTTCAGCTGCTGCTGCCGCCGAGCAGAAGCCGACCGAGCCTACTGCGACGACGAGCGTGGACACTCCTGCTGGGAAGGAAGACACTGCAACTGGAGCCGAGGCTATCGAGATGCCCGCCACCGAGGAGACTAGACCCAAGCGACCGCCGTTGGTAGTTCCCGAGTTGGCTGCAGAGTCATCTGCCAACATTCGCGCGGATGCCGCTGTAGTCGAGCACCATCGGGGGTCGATTGTCTCGGCCACCTCTCCCGAGGAGCAGGCCAAGGTCGCCCATGATCTGCGCAAGTCCATCTCCGGTGGCCATCAGGAGCTGCTGAACTCTCTCCGTGAGGATGTTGCGGCCGGAGCCAACCAAGAGGAGACCATCGAGGAAGAGCCCGAGGTTGGCGAGCAGAAAGAGGCGGCATCGGCGACGGCGGAAGCCACCAAGGATAGCCACTAGACCAGGCGGATGTTTATTTGTGGGTTTCTGTCGCAGGACGATAGCATTTTAGCTCCCGCCTTTGTGCATGTGTCACCTTCTGCATGATCGCTTGAAACTTTTACATACCATGTACAGATACCAGATTCTATTCTCTTCTTATTGTTTCCCCTTTCTTATTCAGAGATTGTATGTTTGACATTGTCTCGTCGTTATCATCGACAGAAATTGCAGATGGTCATCAATTGCATGCCTCCAGGCCCACACCGTAGCTCTAGTAGGATCTTCGCCTATTATACTTTCATATCTCTTTACTTCCACACATCTCCGGGTCAAAGCATACTGCGACGGGTTCCAGCAACAGAACTAAGTAAGAACCCAGAAAAAGAAAATAAACAATTAGAAACTCGAAACCCAATTCAAACAAGAGAAGAAACATTATGCTAATGGTATATCCACACACAAGAGAGAAAGATAATGCCAAACGACTTCTATTTCAACACCGAGGGAGGGGGGGGGGATTGAAGGTATTATTTACTCGTCTTCTTTCCTATACTTGTTAACCGCCTGGCGCAGCTTCTCGATGACGTCGGCGGGATCCTGGGCGCCGAAGACCGCCGACCCCGCGACGATGACATTGGCGCCCGCCTCGGCCGCCTGGTCGATCGTGCCCACGCCCAACCCGCCGTCGACCTCGATGTTGAGGTCCGGGTAGCGCTCCCGCAGGGCCTTGACCTTGGGCAGCTCCGAGGCCATGAACTTCTGGCCGCCGAAGCCCGGGTGGACGGTCATTACGAGGACCATCTATTTTTTGATTTGGGTGTTAGTCTTGGGTGAGCGATTTTGGGTTGCGGGGGTACGGTTGTTGGAGGGAGGGAGAATGGATAAAAAGTTTGAAGGGGGGTTGAGGGTTTATGGTGGAGGGAGATTTTCAAAGGTGCATGGCAAGGTAGGGACCAAACGCACATCCGGCTTCTCCTTCGCATCCTCCGTCTCCAGAATCTCCCAGAGCACATCCACGGGGGTATCGGGCTTGATGGCGATGCCGGCCTGCATGCCTTGCTCGTGGATGTAGCGGATCAGCTCCTTGGGGGAGGTGTGGCGGGTGGTGGTCTTGTCGGCGGGTTCGGTGGCCGCGACCGAGGAGACGGCGGCTTCGTAGTGGAAGCAGTAGAGGTCGCAGCCGGCCTTTTGGAACTCTTTGACCCATTTGTGGGGCTGTGTTTTCGGGGGTAGATGTCAGTGATGGGATGATCTTGATTTGCGTTCGAGGGGTATAGGGGGAGGTAGGAGAGTGGCTTAAGGGGGGGTGGGTTGATTGTTTTGTTCGTTTGGCAAGGTGTTTTGGGGATAGGTTTGGTTCAACAAACTTGACTAACTCACCTCCGCGATCATCATGTGGCAGTCAAATGTTCCCTTGCCGTGAGCTTCCGTGGGACGGGCGACATGGGATCGGATTGCAGAAACAACAGGGGCTCCGAAGGTGATGTTGGGGACGAAGTGGCCGTCCATGATGTCGACGTGCAACCAGTCGGCGCCCTGGGCGATCTTGGTTGAGCATTCGCTGCCCAGAGTGCCGAAGTCGGCGCTCAGAATGGAGGGGGCAATGATCGCGGGGGGGCACATGGTGGTTGTTGTTGGTTGGGATCGGTCAATTGAATGAGGGGGTGGTAGTAGAGAG